ACACACACACACACACACACACACACACACACAGATACTGAGAAGAAGGATGCGAGTTTTTAAATCTCAGCACAGATGTAACTGATCTCAGGTCTGCTTGCTCCCAAGAACTGACCCCTGACCCCTGGGCCCCCTTTTTGTGTTTCATGTATGTTTTCTTACAGCTGTGGCAGTTAGGGTCATCCTGTACGCCACATATATGTAATAACTGAAATAAGGTGAATAGAAATAAATAAATAACCAAACGAGCCCGAGAGAGGTTATAGAGCAACGTGTGTTTGGCACAACAGAGCATTCAGATCATAACTGTGATTGAAAAAGCTGCCAGACAGGACAGGAAAAAGACCTGTGATGACCTGAGAGATCTCACTGCATGCATGCCTGGAGGGTCTCTGTAAGAAACCAGTTGTGGTAATCTTACCAGAATAATGCCGTGGCTGACTCGCTCACTGTGTTTAAGAGAAAGGGAGGATAAATAGGAACCGAGGTTCTGTTGTTTTTGCACGACAGTACATATTTCTGCCTCGTCTCTGTGCAGTTCTACAAAGTTCTTGAAGTGTTTGAATCAAGCCAAGGTTGAAGTACAACTGTGCATCATCTGCACAGGAATGGTAGGATATATAATATGCTTCCTTATGACAGTACCAAGTGTGACTATGGTCCAGGGACAGACCCCTGACCCCTGACCAGGAACCCGTGACTGATTTTACATTTGTGCAGATCTAAAACAGATAACTGAAATGTAAGACATGTCGACTCTTTAGATACGATGAGAGCCGATCAGGAACCTGACCTGTTAAACTGACTGAATCATGAACCCTTTTAATTCAAATGTCATTAACAACAGTATCAAACACAGCAGTGAGATCAAGAACCAAGAGTTTCTCACTCCTCAGGTCACTGATGACTTCAGTAAGACCTTTCTGTCCTGTGATTAGATTGGGTTCATTCAGCTGCTGTTTTTTTTATATCTAATAAAGATTAGATATAGGTCTGTGATGTATTACCACTGGATGTGAGTTGTGATGTGATTAGAGCAGAGTGTAGAGGGTGATAGCAGCCTGCAGGGAGCTGCTGGTGAAATTCTTCCGGATTTTTAGATTTTACAGGTGAACATGTGGATGTGATGCTTATGGCAGTCATGTGTATGTATGGCAGAGAAATGACTAAATATTCCCTCTAATATTATAAACTTTGTTTAGAAACACTCATCACTGAAACAGTTGATAGATTAATTACAATGATTAAATCGTTTATTGATGAATGGAAATAAAAAAGCCTTTAGCTTAGTTTCATAGATTTCAAAATGAATTCATTGCTCCTTCTTGTATTCAGCAGATTCTTCTTCCCATATTTTCAAAGTTTCTCCAGGATGATTTAGGTGGACCATGTTCTGTTCTGACAGGAGCAATATGATCAATAACTCAAGAAGGTGCATTAGAGAAATCATTTTATAATAACAGTACAGGTAACGTGTAGCTTTAAAATGTACTAATTATTAATCCTTTATTTATCCAGGTAAAAATCTCATTGAGATTAAAAATCTCATTTCCAATTGAGACCTGGCATCATGGCAACAAAAGTCACATACCACATAGGTATATAACATTTAAAACAAATACAATATCCCATACAAACATGTGTAAAATATACAATAACAGATCAAATTAAGAGTACATTAAAAACAACACACTGAGTAAAAGAGCTGTTCTCTCGTTCCTTTAAGACAGACTTAAACTCTCCCAAGGTAACCAATTCTGATCATTTCAGTTCCTTCTGCAGATTATTCCAGGAAGCAGGGGCAGCATATTTAAAAGCCCTTTTCCCCAATTCTGTTCTGATTTTTGGGACAATCAATTGTATGATTTTGTTCGAACGAAGGTTGTATTGGTTGTGGTTTTCACACATATAAACACATAAATAAGATGGAACCAGCCCAAGGAGAGATTTATAGATAAAGATCAACCAATGGGAGAGTCTGCGAATATGCAAAGATGGACATTTAGCAGCAGCAGACAAAGAACAATGATGTACATGATTATCTAATGAGTGTTTAGATGGATGAACAATAAGCTTCTGAGAAAATGCTGTAATGATAAGAAATGGCAACACTTGTGATGTGATACTGATACATCTGGAAGATCAAGGCTGTGGTTTTGTAAAAGGCCACTCCTGATTGGTTATTTGAGTTTATAGGCAGAGGATGTCAGCCGGTGATCAGCTGATCACGGGGCCGGGTTTAAAAGAGACGCCACCCACCTGTTCGCCGCTCAGACATCAGATTTTGTGGTGGAGGTGGATGCCTCCGATGTTGGCGCTGGCGCCGTCCTTTCTCAACACGGCCCGGATGGAAAACTTCACCCATGCTGCTATTTCTCAAGGAAATTTTCTCCCACACAGCAACAGTACGGTGTCGGAGACCGAGAACTCCTGGCAATCAAGTGGGCCTTAGAAGAGTGGCGGCATTGGCTCCTGGGAGCGAAAGACCCTTTTCTGATCTGGACTGATCATCAGAACCTGATCCATATTCGTTCTGCCAAGCAGCTCAACCCAAGGCAGGCCTGTAGGGCCTTATTCTTTGAGCCTTACAATTTCCACCTCGCCTACCGCCCTGGTTCCAAGAACGCTAAGGCA